GACGCAGGACTGCAGGTGGGGTCTCACGAGAGCAGAGTAGAGGGGCAGAATCCCCTCCCTCAACCTGCTGGCTACGCTTCTCTTGATGCAGCCCAGGATACGGTTGGCTTTCTGGGCTGCAAGCCCACATATTCTGGGCTGCAAGTGCACTTTTCTGAGCTAATGTATTATAAAAGCAAGTTTAATCTGCTGAAATCTGGGAAAGGGGTAGGAATTGCTGCTACTTTTCCTCACAAAAACCTGAAGCTGGAGTTGGACAAGATGGCTCAGCGCATCCCACTGCGAGCGAAGGTGGGGTCCTGCCCTGTGCTGAGCCAGTGCAGATTGCTGCACCCGCAGAAAAATGGCTCCTGTCTCCTTGTGGTTTTTTGTTGGCTGGATGATCTAAATAAACTTCCCGAGTGGGCAACTCAATATGTGGAAGAAGAGGAGAGACAGACCAGTTTTTCATCAGGAACAAGTCGTTAGATTAGCTCAGCGTTGTTGTCTAGAGGTGCCCCATATCGCTTTTGAGATGTGTGAAGGTGTTCCAAGCTTACACTGGAGTAACAGAAAAAATTTGCTGAAATACAACAATTTGTGTAAGAGGCTGCTTCATATAATGAAAATAGCTTTTAATGTCCGAGAAACACTTCACAACTGGTTTTTCCTAACAACAGCACATATGTATTAATTAATCATTAGAAGAATATAAAATTTGTATTACATATTCACATAGACAAAACAGAGAAATGAAAAACTAAGATCCCATACCTGGAAGATAATCCAGGGTTTTCTTCTCTTCTGCGCATTTGACTGTGCATGCACAAATGAAAACACAGGAGCTGCCTGGGTGTCTCAGTACTGGATAGGATTGCAGTTATGAATATTTTGTTGTTGGTTGTCTGTGCTTTCTTCCCAACGTACTTCTTTCCAGACCATGAAAAATTTTCTGGCATTAAACATAAGATCTTTCACCATAAAATAATTTTTACTTTTGTTCTCCTCTGCATTTTTGCGGGTGGTGTTAGACAAGTCACTTTTGATAACTGCCACAAGGTAATACAAATGGCTGAGCGTGTGCAATGTCATGTTAATTCAGGACGAAAAATCTGTAGGCACTCTTACTTGATGAAGTATTACACAATATAACTAACAACCTCACATATGTCTGGTTTAATGGTTTCATTTATAGAAGTATTTCTGAAATGATAGTATTCATTGAGGGACATTTACATTCTTGTACATGAATTTGTAGATGTCGGGAGATCAGCATGTTGATTGCCCTACTCAAGAGAGAGGTGATGAAGATCACGGTGATGTAGTTGATGCAAGGCCAGACAGAAGTAGCAGATTCTCACTTTTTGGAAAGTAAGTTACTATTTTTATTCCTGTTATTGTTGTATCAGCTGTCATACTACCCTTCTAATGGGATTTTGATGTTCAGTTTGCCATGTCCACAGTGTCATAGATGGCCTGGATAGGGAGATGGTTTATGTTGTGTCAGTTTAATGTTTCTGGTCTGTACCTTAAAGCATCCCTCCATAGTATCTCCCTATAGGGAGACCTATAGGATCTCCAATAAGCTTTATTTGGTAGTCAAGAGACCACTAAGTTCATTTAGCATCAATTATAGTCCCTCATTCTAAACGTTGCCCTTTAGTGGAGCTGGGAATTAAATATGCCATTAATTATCTATTTTACTACATTCAGCTCAGCTAATCTCTTGCATCATTGGAATCCCCTGCTGACAATTTAAGTTAGTTTAAAGCCTGGATGTGCCAACTAGGTTGTAGCACAGAGAAGCCTCACTGAGTCTAGAGATGTAACCCGTTACAGAATAAATTAAAAGTCTTTCATTTTAAAACGTAGTAGTCTCACTGAAGCATAAGCTTACTTTCATTAAACATATAGGAAGCAAGAACTATGTACTGCTTGTCTGTACTCTCGAAAATGCTAGAAAAATGTGACTGAAAATGCAAAAGATGAAAAACGAACATGCAACATTTAGAAATACTATTCAATGTCAGCAAATGAACTTCATGGATTTACTGAGGTTTTATTAGAGGTGTTTATTACAAAGACTAGTGTATTTACAGAGAGGTTTTGATTATTTTTACTATTGGACATCACATTCAAGTGAATAGTGTACTTCAGAGAAAGTGCATGGAGAATGTAATTTTATTTTTGCTACTTATTATACGAGTCTAATGGGGGGTAACAAATGCGTGAGAGAATTGAAGATGCTTTAGTCTTAGAAGACTTGATGTGCTGTTAGCCTATCACTTTACTTTCTCTGTCTCATTTTATCATTCCTCAAATACGTTTTATGATGTGTATGTGTATTATTAATTTTAACAGTCACATCATGCTAAATAGACAATGTAACATTTGTTTCTAAATGTTGCCAAACATTTTTCTAAGGTTTCTTTTAAATTTGCAAGATGTGTGGTTTAATATCTGAATTGGTCTTCTTTCGAAGAGGTGATATGCTAATACTATTGTTAAATCATGCAACTCAAAGTTAATCATTCCTGAAGGAAAGGCAATAATCACCATTTCTATTGCTTTTTTTCTACAAGGAATTTTTCAAGTAATTTGGCTATGCATCAGTTTGAGGCATTCATCTTTTGGGAACTCCTTGAAGATACAATTTGAAACATTTTTCTTTAGAAGAAAAAATTGCTTAGATTAAATATGACATAATTGAGAAGATTCAATTTATATGTTGTAGAAAAAAAGTAAGTCTGAGAAATCTATCACAGTTTCTTGAAGAAGGTGATGATATTGACTAAAGAAGAATGAGCTGGTTGACAGGGAAGTTCGTAAAAAACCAAGTACATTGACAGGTCTTTGTCTTATAGAAACTGAAACTCTTTGGCCTGAAGAAAGATAGGAGAGGAACACGAGAGGATGAAGGAAGATAGGATATGATCTAAAATCGTGGCTGTAACAGAGGAGAAAGTGAATAGCGAATGATCGTTCCTTGTGCCTCACAGGAAATCTAGGGGACATTCAGTGAAACGTTCATGCAGTAGGTTTAAAACAACCGATAAAACGTAATTTTCACATAGTGCAAAATGCAGCTGTAGAACTTAAAGTCACAACATATGCAGATGTCAAGATTTTAGTTGATTTCATAAGAGATTAGACGTATTTGTGGAAGAGAAGTCTGGCGCGAATGTTGGTGTTAAAGTCTTTGGTGCAAGATGTTCCCAAATCAGGTTTCTGTGAGAATATATTCTGTATCCAATTTCTTTTGTGTGTTTTCTTAAAACTCATTACTAGTCAGTACCAGCTACTAGGCTAGATGTACTTCTAGCTGGAACCAGCATGACTCGGTGTCTTGCTTGCCAAGGCTTCACTTATTATTGCTTAAAATACATAAGGAAAACAAGTAACTTGCATTGTTAAATAAGCACGTTAATTTTAATTGATGAGAACAGAGCAGTGAGAAACTGAATTCAAAGCCGTGCAGCTGTTTCCAGTAGCTTCACAGCTCCAATTCGCCATTCTCTGGCTGCGACTTCAGATTTATCTGGCAAGAGCAGAAGTAGAAATAAATGAAAACCTTCTTCACTACAGCATATTTCTCTCCGAGAAGTCTGTGAGCCTGCTTTACTATGGAGGCCAGGAGGCTCAGAACAACCCCAGAGTGGGCAGGTTCTTCTGGCTGCACCACCGTTTAAGGGAATTGTCTTCTACGTTTTTCCTTTTCTTTGGAAAAGTGCTCGTACTTAGTTAGTGTTGGTGGGGAAAAACTGTTTGGTGGGGAGAAGTGTTGAAAGAGCAGTTTTGACTTCACGGCTGGCGGTGGGGTTTGGTTTAGGTTTTCTAGCCACTAGATGGCAGGAGGGGATCAATTTTATTTACTGCAAAAATGTGGCCAAAAACTGGGGGGCGTTGCAGTTGAGCAAAAAGTTATGTTTCAGAAGGCAGAAATAGCAGTGTACACTCTGGCAAACCTGTGCGCAACAAAGTTTTAACATAAGGTTAAACAAAGATTGAGCTGAGGATTTCAAAAGTGTATTTTAATCCTTTACGTGATTGTTAGAAACTAATAGCATTTTTCCTACAGAAAGCTTCCTTTGCTATGCTGTATGTGCTCCTCTTACACTTTCAAGTCTTTAAAAGTAGTACTGCTTCTCCTCCACAGGATGATTTCATATCTTCGTTTGGTATCTTTTGTCTTTTATTGGGGAACTATTTTAGGGAGAGTGATAGCAGCAAACATATTTTAGCATCCAGGAAACATAATGTAACATGAAACAGAATAAAAATGTGATTCTACTGTGTTAAGTAGAGCTAAGATGTCTCTGACTCCTATTGAAGGTTTTTTTTTTTTAAAAAGCTGCATCTGAAAATTCCGAAGCCTTGGTAGACTCACACTTGCGCTGTCAGTAATCATGACTGTGGGCTTCAGTGAAGAAGCATAATGCAGAAGAGGGTGGTTGTTAGCAGTATCTAGGTACTAGTTTTATTCTAATTTAATTGTACAGAACCATTTGTCCTCTGGTTACTTTTACCTACTCCAACCCTACTGTCTTGTTTTACAGTTAGTATTCCCCTTCTCGTCTGGCAACAGAAAAAATAATTTAAGTATATATTGAAGAATTCTTAGAAATACCTAGTTACAATTGAAAATATGTGATTCTGTAGTGCCCTTAAGGCAGAAACATGAAATATATTGTAAGAAAATCCCAGCGAGGAATTTGAGAGGCTTGTAGGGTACACTCACATACAGTCACCAAGAGTACTTCAGCTGTTGCAAACCCAAAATATCTGTAAGGTATTTATTTCTGTCAAGTCAGGCTATAAAGTTTGAGACTTTTCATTTTGATTAATTTGAAAGTTAGCTGGAAACATCAGTGTGTATCTTGTCTTCTGTACTTCAGTAGTTGTGATAGATATAGATTCTTATGATGTCTACCAGGTTTGTGAACTAGTATCTGGATCAAAAAGATTCACAGATATATTGATTTTCTTTTCATTTGTATGGTGTTTATTTGGGTTACAAGGCTTCAAAGTGGGGAAGCACAGATGTTACCAGAGCTTTCTTTTAACTTCATGACCCTTGTCTCAGTATAGCTGTATTTCTAAAAATTAATAGCCTTGACCTTCAAAGAATAACTATTCATTTCTGAGATTCAGCTTCAGCTGAACCTCACCTTTGGAGCTGTAACAGGTGTAAAAAGTTGTCTTTATTTGAGCTTTGCTCTTCTGTTGTTGTCTCTTTTGGGGAGCTATTTTTCCATCCACTTTTGATTACCAACAGCTTATTTTTGTTTGGTTTTTAAGAAGCTGCTTTGCAGGTAGAACTGTATGAAGAAGAGTTTCACAGTGATGCAGATGCATATGTTTTCCAGAGCTGCCCATTTTGTACTTTGTGGGCCATTTGAAAACACTGGGCCTGATCTTATAAATTAATTGTTTGCTTTGTAGAAAAAGTACTACTGCTAAAACTGTATGCTTATGAAGAAACTGTGTTGCCCTCCACTGCATGAGTATCAGCTGCTGCTGCCTTGAAATTAATGTCTTCAAATCCGAACGGTGCCTTGAATTATACCTCGTCGTTTTTATCATAACCTTTACAGTTCTAAAATTAAAATTGCAGTTCTGTTACAGGTTTTTCAGTGGCAGAATATTACAGACCTTTCAAAAATAAATATTGCTAAAAAAGTATCTCTTTTGTCCTTAGATAGAAGAAAAATAGCAAGTTACTTTACAACAAATAGCAGCTGATGCATCATTATCTGCAGCTCTGGGCTGCAGCTCAGAGGTCTGAACTGAACTCTGGATTCAGCCTCGCGTTTCCTGTAAGTCTCTAAGCAAATCACTGTGTACCTCCGTCTATCCTGTAAATGGGTGATCATCTTTCCTTTTACTATCCAAACTCCAAAGTCTAGCACGATATAATTTTAATTTTGTTTGGAGTTTGTGGGCTCTGCTTTGCACAAGCTAAGTATCAGTGTATTATTTTCCCCCCAAAGTGCTGAACATAAAATTTTAGAAGCAATAGGTTCTGGCATCTGTAGTCTGTTAAAGTTGACTCCTACAAAGAAAATAAAGAGATTTTAACATAGAGCAACAGGGATGTTTCATTTTCATTACTCTCTTTTAAGCCAGAGGTTGTCTTTTTATTTTTTGTTATTGCAGTTTTTGTTAGATGTGGAACTCAACTTCTGGAGAACACTGCAGAAGTATTTAACAATTAGTGAAAGCTGTAGTCAGTGCTGGTACTTTGCATTGGACACTTACGGGATGTACCGTATAGGAAATGCCCAAGTATCTTGAAACAGTAGCTAGTCTAAAGAGTAAGAACTCATTAATTCACAGTCAATATTTGTTTCCAGTCTTCTCAGGGACTTTAT